ATTCACTCACTGCTGATGAGACCCAACCAGGTCGAAACAGCTGTTCAGTGCTCCCCAGGTTTTCAGCTCACGCCTCATTTACATGTTGAATTCAAAATCCCAATTTCTTTATTCCGTTCAATCGTTGACGAAGGAAAACACACGAATTTATGCACAGAAATACAATCGGTTCACTTAACATGGAGTTGAACTCTGACTTCTATATGCATTACACAATTGCGGGTACATGGTTGATCACCTTCACTGAACAACCCAATATGCTACGTATATTTGCCTGTTTATTTTACGTCAGCTTTTGAGAAGAACAATGAACATCGCGCTGCACTTGTCCTCTTTTGATGTTCACAAAAGGGATAACGGCTGGGGGACTCAGTGATTCAATCAACAAAAACACGAGTTGCACACACTAAAATTGTAAGTCAATTTGAAAACAGAAAACCCAATACGTTTCTCACTGATCGGCGAATTTCTCACGTTGTCTTCCGGCGTGAGTACAAATCGGTCATGCTTATCACCTGAAACAAATCACATCGAATTGGATGGGAATAATTCAACCGAACATTCTGACTGTACATGAAAAGTGTAATCGCGTAACACACACACACACACACGAGTGTGTGTTGGAATACACAACAACTATCTCCCTATCGGTAGAACACACAGCATCCGACACGTTTACGGGCTAAAGAGACAAAAAAGCAATGGTATCAGTGGATTTATTTAGTTGCTCATTTTCTCTTTGAATACTGATTCAACCGACTAGTTTGATTTGACCTTCATCTATCCATCTGAACGAACTTCTGTTTGCCCTTTATCCGTTTTTCTCTGGTTCGAAATGTAATTGTGTGCGTGTGTGCGCGCGCACCGCTAGTGCTCTCTCAACCGCGAAATCTCACTGCAATCGTCCAATCTTCCCATGAGATTGAATTGGTCTGGGAACCGCCGACAGATGTGGATCAATCTGCTCGCCCATTGAAACATTACAACTTACTATACGCTCCCATGTCCACAATGAAAACGGCAGAAAAACCGAAATGGGCCGCCTATCTGGATGTGACGGAATCGGGTGTGGAGCAGATGGAAATTGAGCCCGGACTGCGGCGTGTACGGATTTCCCGATTGAAACCGGACACACAATACCTGTTCAATATGGCTTCCGTCTCGAATTCGGGCTTAGGTGTTCGAGCTGTGGCCTACGGGCGTACGAAACGTTTCGGTTAGTAAGAAGTCTACCACTTTCAGATGCTTAACTGAGCCTGATTCATGAAAAATGAANTTTGTGATGTTCTCAATTGACTTTGCTTTTGCATCCGGTTGTTTTACGCTGCAAAAATGAACCGGTGATTTGTTTGATGTTAAACCGTGTGGCAATGGTAACCGAGAGGATGTGTCCCTCAAACATGAATCTGGAATGTAATAACTGTTGGTGAATTGGAGACAACGTTCAACTGTCTCGAACGCAATGGGGATTAGATAATATATTAAACGTCAAATGGTCTGAATGAAAAGTTCTCAAGCGATCATTTTGCCCTTCAGCTTCCAGGTTACGAGATAAGACAAAATCTTCACAGATTGCTAAGGCCAAATCATCCACCTGACCTACCTTTGTGTTTAATTTATTGAGTAGGCTGAGTGAAAATACAATTTCTAAAGAACACAAAGACATTTAGCTCGTCTGTTGATGAATCTGGAACAGTGGATACTTTACATAAAAGTATGTGAGTCAGAATGACGAAAGTCTACCTCCCTTCGACCAACTTTTGCTCTATGTTCATCGTTTTGGATAATTCATTCAAGTCTATAGTATTCATCCCAAAAAGAAACGTTGCAACCCATTGACGCTTGTTTATTCCATGGTTTCTATTCAATTCGAAACACTCGGTAACTGGGGCAAGTTACCGACGTTTTTGTTTGCAATTGCAAATTTATAATCACCAAAGATTGTCAAGTTTCATTGACAATTTACGCAAAATGATTTATCCCATTTTTGTTTTGTTATAGAACATTTACTACCGGGCTTTTTAATTATAGACTTATTGCGACATTGTGGCAAATACGAATAGGCACTTTGCATTAAACAGCAACTCAAAATCCCTCTCCCCCAAATATATGATTTTTTGAGTTCCGCATTTGGTGTAATCGGCCACAGTAACTCCTCTAGTTGGCAGTTAAAATACTTCTGAAGACTGACTGTATCAGATCGTCTCAAATAGAGTTTCAGGAGAACAAAGTGGTCCCACCCTATTCTGTTTAAACGACGCTATTTGTGAAGCACTTCAGAAAGTTAGAAAGCTTCTTTGGCTTGTCACAAATACGTTCGTTAAGGAATTGGACATTTTTGAATCCAATCATGAAGGAATAAAGGAGCGCTTGTTTAAAAATAAGATCCGCTTTGTCCGGCCGGGTCTGTTACTGTTGTAATCAAACAACGTGAAACCAATGAGACCTTAGATTGAACTGCAACAGTGTCCACTAACAAAGCTTCACAGTTTTCACAGTGTTTCACTGCGAGCTATTTAGCTGATCACCCTGTCAGCTGAACTGAAGTTACCACTCATCACTGAACCGGTGGCCTTGAATAGGAGGTAGCTGTCAGAAACACTTTTCCCAGCAGTTTCCTTTGTCCCTCAAGTAGGGCATTGCAGTATGTATTGTCTGAATAAGCTTGATGGACCGATGCAGTTAGGCTATGGGTAGAGCTGTGAGCGCGTACACATTTGAGTGTGTGTGTGCGTGTATCGTGGAGGTGTTCCGGCTGGGGCTTTGGCAGAAGATGGGGTTAAAACCAAAGAGTGAGTAGCACAGGGGGCGTACGAATAAAATGGAATTTGGTTCCGTGGTGTGGAGCAAAAAAGCCGGAAGGGAATAGTGAGAAATCTCCCGGTGGACAGAGTGAGCGGAAAGCTGAGCACGTTGTCAGGACTATATTTTGATATAAAATAACCTTTTTCTGCTGGAAAGCAAAGACAAAAACGAGCTGATGCAACCCTTCATTGTTTCTAGTGTGAACTCGACGGAGTGTCCGAGACTCGAATAGATAAAAGAAATTCTATGGCTTACCCGTCACACTGAACAATAATATAAGAATTATTTCTGAAGGGGTTTTGGAGGACATCTATCTTTAATTTTTGTCTTTAAATTAGTAGGTGACTGAACTACAGTCATCAATGTTTGAGTAAATTTTTCACATTCGGTTATAGCGCATGGATTCACTTTTATTCCATAAAATATATGAAAATATGAATTTGTCGAAGAATAAAATCAACTTGGTTCATTTGTTGAATGGAATAATTAGGCAGTATGATAAAGTTATAGGTGGATTCCTTGAAATCAGCCTCGGCTCTGCCAGTTGTATACATAATCCACATTCAAGACAACACCGAACTGAAATGGAATATAGACGCTTCTGGTGTCAGTGGGACAACAAGTCCAAATCCAACTAGATTTCCCTAAGGCTCATTTCAAATCGGAGTGAATATGATGATTAGGCCTGATGGGTAATGTGTAAGGGAAAACCACATTGGGTGAAAGCATGGGGGGTGGTTAGATTCAGGAAGCAGAAATGTACCACTTTTATAGAAAGAACATGAATAGCTGACCAATGGTTGACGCTTGACTTTCTCATGCGGGTAGAACATATCCCCAAACTTCCCGCTAACAAAATTCAATGCGCTACTCCACTGTGGAAAACGAATAATGCCATAGAGAAGGACAGTTACGGAGTTAGATCTGTGATTCTTAAACGGTAATTATAAAGTACGGGCACCATGGTCATTACGGTGATCATTTCCACTTTCAAAATCTTAGCGCAAGCTTTGGTCCTTGGTTCTGTGGAGCAATTGCTTTGAGCGTCATTGTAACAAACGTAACAAACGTGTCTACTTTATTGATACCGCCAAACCTAGCAGTCTTTGGGCATTTTCCATCTGAATAAATTGAACTCCATCCTGTTTGTTGAGCCCACTGACCCGCTTTAATGAAGAGACTGACTATCCGACATAAATGACAACCCCCTCCCTCCCAGGTCCGCCTCGCAG